TCTATAATCCCATCCCATACATCTATTATCTATCATCTATTATACCATCTATAATCTATAATCCCATCCCATAGATCTATTATCTACAGTCTATTATACAATCTATAATCTATAATCTACAATCCCATCCCATAGATATATTATCTATAATCTATTATAGCATCTATAATCTATAATCTATAATCCCATCCAAAAGATCTATTATCTATAATCTATTATACCATCTATAATCTATAATCTATAATCCCATCCCATAGATCTATTATCTATAATCTATTATACCATCTATAATCTATAATCTATAATCCCATCCCATAGATCTATTATCTATAATCTATTATACCATCTATAATCTATAATCGTCTATAATCCCATCCCATAGATCTATTATCTATCATCTATTATACCATCTATAATCTATAATCCCATCCCATAGATCTATTATCTGTCATCTATTATACCATCTATAATCTATAATCTATAATCCCATCCAATAGATCTATTATCTATAATCTATTATACCATCTATAACCTATAATCGTTTATAATCCCATCCCATAGATCTATTATCTATAATCTATTATACCATCTATAATCTATAATCCCATAGTTTCTATAACCCCATAGTTGATTCTTTCCCATTTGTTACTCAGCTTCAGCTCGGAGCGGCAGGGGGGCGCCTCAGCATTTTGCGGTGCATCCGCAACCACCGCACCGTCGTCGTTGCCAACCAGCCAGGGACGTTTGCCTCGGCGACCGTGGTGAGTTCACAAAGGCGACCGTGGTAGCCTCTATGTCCACATAGCTATGGAAAATGGCCATAGGAATAGTGGATTTACATGGATTTACCCATTGAAAATGGTGATTTTCCATAGTTATGTTAATTGACCAGAGGGTATGTACACTGTAATCATTGTAAAAAAACATGTATTGATGCTATATTTGTCTATATCATCACCAAATAAGTAGTCATAAGCCACTTGCGATTCGTAGGATGAATCACTGACGAAAAATGAACTAACTAGGGACATAAACGGACATCATGAGACATCACGGGGATTTTGTAGCCAACCATAGTCTGGTTGATGGTGCCACCGATGATTTATATTGATTTATGGGGTCAAAAATGTCAAAATAGGGATTCGACTTTTAAATACTTTTATCTAGTGGGTATACATACTATATGAATGAATCAAATATGGTCACAATGAACCAACTACACTCTGATTGGTGATTCAGCATCTAGGTCGGGCGTAGTGTTTGATAGTGTTTGCACTCCGGAGTAGTTTGTCTCCCCTGCATGCAACATGCTTAAGGGCTTAATGAAGAACCACATTTTTCACTACTTCATGTTGTTCAAAGATCTTAGATATGATTGTATATGTAATGTTCATGGATATACAGTATGTATAGCATACAGAGGCATGCATATTTGCAGGTGAAACTAGACAACATTGACTGATCTCCCACATGCTTCAGGGATAGACACCGCTATGGGGCACGAGGTGTAGTGCAAACAGCACACCTTACTTATTGCTGGTCAAAACAACAGTGAGTACCTTACACATTACTGTTCCACAATGACATTCAATTTAATATTTTCACCATATGCTATATCATGGGTCATGTGATAAATCAAAATCAATATATATATATTTATATTATTGTTATTCTATATGTTACAAAATGAATTTATATTCAATAATATTATATTATATTTTATTTTATTATATCATATTGTAATAAATTATATATATATAATTTAATTTCTAATATTATATTATATTATACTTGAATAAATCATATTTTACTATATTAAATTAAATTAAATAATATAATATTATATGAAATTATATTGTATTAAATTATCTTTTAATAAATCAAATCAAATATATTACATTATAAAAAAATAATTTTCATAATATATTATATTATAGAATATAATCTAATGTAATATAATAAATACTTTATTACATATCTTATAATAAATCAATATATATATATATATTACATTATATTATATTATTGTATTTTATTTGATATTCTATGTTATTTTCTTATAATAAATCTAATTACAAATTATAAATTAAATTAATATAATATTATATTCTATTATAGTATACTAAATTATATATAATATTATATTATATTATATATTATATATTATATTATATTAAATTATATTATATTATAATATAATATATTTTATTGAATTCTAAATATTATAATCTTTAAATAAATAAATATATATATAATATATATATATATATCATGCAAAATAATCTAGTACTTCCAGTGACACATATCCAGAGTCCGTGATCTGATACAGAGTCTCAACATCCACCGACAGGTTCCAGGTCAAGATGCAATCCTCATCAAACTTAAAGCCAGATGCGATGTTCCCTGCCGTGGAACGGTCAAAATCAGAGATTTCATGGGAACTTTCCATGTCTGTCGTAATGTACAGGAGTCTGTAGTCTGTAATAATTTAAGTTACTTCTCAATTTTTAGTTATGTTCTAAAGATTGAACAACTTGAACATGTTTGCAAATGGGAAACCAAACATGCTTGCATGCTGCAGACAAACGAAGAGTCTCTACTGGCATTAATTGGTGGTTCTATAGGAGTCGAACTTTCTTTGTGTATGTTGGGCAGGTTGGATTCTTTACATGTGATTCCATCCATCCCCGAACTGACCATGCAACTGGAACCGTGACTCAGGACATCGAAATGGAACTGTGGCAAATTTCAACCATACCAATTTATGTTGGAGTCAACACTCTAAAGTGTTGTTGTCTCCATGCGCTTGGAAACAGTTGACTCTTCGTGGGGAAAAAAACATGGAACAGAATAAAACACAGTTTGGCTCAAATATAGTACGCCGTTTTTCTTTGCCCCACGAAATGCATTTTTGGAGGGGTAATGATGATTAACCAATGGTTTTGGGATGTTGGGGTTTCCCACCGGGTTTTCGGACCTACATTTTCCACACCAACTGGGACCACCAAGGTGGATGAATTTTGCTGATTTGGGGTCCCCTTTGTCCCTGTAATTCCTTTCCTCTAAGGAAACTACACTTCTAAAGCCACCAAACTGACTACCAACCCCAGCCTTCCTCATTGTAACCTGAGGGGAGGTACGTGGCAAGCCCTGGGGTTGGAACTTCCGAAACACGCGGCTTCTATCTATTTGCAAGTGGAAAGGTTCTTCAAATTTGCAAACACGTTCTGTTTTTGGAAGCGCTACAAGTTCCATATATCAAATCGGCCATATGATGGAATGAGACCCATAAACGCAAACCAACACCCTATGCATGCTCCCTCGACTTGCAGCACGTAGATGGAACTATCTTAGATACCCGTCCAAAAAGTCATTTCAAACCAGGAACTGGTAGTGGATATTACTAATAATGACAAAACGAACCATCAAACTGATTCAAACCGCTGCCGAGAATTCCAAACTTGAAATCTACGGGAAGGAAACTCAACACACACACTTTGGTAAACTCCATAATGGAGAGGGTGAAATGAGATGAAATGATAACCGTCATGTCGTGTTGTTACATTAGCATGTCATGTCATGTCATGTCATGACATGTCGGCTTGGGTGGTTTTTGGCTTGGCCACCTTGCCATTTCGGACGCAGGTACGTTTTCACGACGACATAGATGGGTCTTCGTTGGCCCGTGCCATCTATGCGTCCACGGGCCCCCTGCTTTTCCCTTTGATTCAGGGTTTCTCACACACAGCAAGCCACTAGGGCACGATGTTACTGTTCCACTGGTTGCTCCCTTAGATTCAAGGTTTTTACTTAGACGTATATCAAGCCGCTGAGCACGATTTTTCCAAGAACGACTTCCCTCGGTGTGGTTGTTTTGGACTGAATGTGAGGAAATCACCCCTCAGTGCTGTTGGTCTTGAGTCACATATGTCGAAAACAGGAGTCAAACAAACCTACTTTTTGAAACTAGACGAATAAAACTGGTGGTTTGAGGTGAGGATATTAGGTATTAAATCAAAGCTCCTACTTGACCAAAGAACCAATCAGCAAGTATGCCGAAGCATCTGAGACGCCTTGGCTCGTAGTACTTTCTCGGGATATCCGAGCGATACGTACCTTCGAATTAAGGACTCAACATCATCTTTTGCTTGTTTACGTGGGTAGCTGTGTCGAGCAGCCAAGCAAATCCGGCTGAATGCTGCTGATAGTTTGTGTTGCTTTGATGCTGCTGAAGCAAAAGGTTGGAATTGCCAAGTGTTGGTTGGTTGTATGTAGGATAAGGTCTGACGATCAGGGTCGATTGTGCAGCCAAGAAAGGATAGGTCTGGTTCTTGTTCAAGGAGAACCGGAGGTTCATAGAAAGTGTCTGCGAGAAAGTGCCGGATGCCTGCATGATGTTGTTGTGATTTGTCGATAAGAACAAGTCGGTTGTCAACGTATCTGGTGATATAGATACGGTCAGAGAATTTTTGTAGGAGTAATTGGATTTGTGGCTGTGTGCGCCACTGATGTTCCACATGGCTAACTGTAATGTTGGCGAGAACCGGGCTGATTTGATTGCCGATAGCGCTGCCACGTACTTGCTGGAAGGTGTGGTTCATGTGTGTAAAGATTGATGCTTGCAAGGATAGTTGACAAATGTCATAAATGTCGCCGAATCGGATTTGGTGATGGCTGTTGGCTGCTTTGCGAGGCCGGCCTCGGAACATCCGCAAGGTGTTGTCTGTTTGTCGAAGATTGACAGTGAACATTGTATTGTGATCAACATGTGGATGTTGTTGTTTGTAGAAGTCAAGGAGCGTTCGTACCGAGTGCATGATGCGCTGTGCTGGAATAGAAGTGAAAAAGCCGGCAAGGTCTTGATTGTGGACTGTAAGCTCTGCGTCTGGTGGTATGTGTGTGAGGAATTGTTGGAGATTGGAAAAGATCTGTTGAAGTGACTGAAGACCAAAGGTGTTTGGCATGCAAGATTGGAGTAGTTGTTGAAGGATAATGGCTGTGGCTTTGAGGAGTTTTGCGAAAAGAAACCTGCGATAGTTGATAATAGGTCGAGCTGCAAGAAATTGTTTCCTCTGTTTTAAAAGAACATAGGCCGTGGGGCATTGGTTGGTGCTGCTGCAACCCCACTTGTATTTGCGCAACCAAGGTTGGTTGGCAAGTTGTTGGAGAAACTGTGTTGCTTGTGTTGGTGTGAGAGTGGTCTGTGTGTAAACTGTAGTGTCTCCAAAAGTCCTGCGAAGAATGGTCCAGTAGAGGTATGGACAGAAAACAAAAATGGCTGATGGTGCATGGTCCCGACAGTGGACCACTAGTGATTTGGTGATTGACTTAAGGTATTTGATGTCACGATGCGTGACGGACTCTTGTGCGTGTGTCAAGTGCTGTGTCCACTGCTCATGTACATGTTGGTGCCAATGTTCATAGGTGATGTTGAAGAGATTGTGGTGTTGAAGCCAGCGTTGTAATGTTGGCCATGTGCAATGGATGTAGTGTTGTCTGGTAGGATAGACCTGCGTGCCGGCATGTGTGGATAAGAATTGTTGGAGGCGGAATGGAATGGTTAGATGTCCTGCTGGACTGGCAATGTGTGGGGAATTGTCGAGTGTAGTGGTGAGGAGTTGCGGGTGCTGTGTTGTGATCTGGTGACATAAGCATGCTGGAGGAATATGCCACTGAAATTGTCTCATCCAACTGAAGTGAGAGAATAGTGCTTGTTTCAGTGTTGTGTGTTTGCCTGCTGTAATGTTGCATTTTGGCACGTGGAAGGGTGGTAGCCACGGTTATTGTTGTCTGGCTAATTGGCGAAGCCAGATGCGTGTCTGTGTTGCAAAGGTTGTGTGACAAAGAAGTGGTAAAATTAATGGTCGTGGGGTGGGTGGTAGTGGTAGTTGTCGAAATTGTATGGCTGACTTGATAAGGCTGCGTACACGGGTGCGTGGTGGGTCATCCATTTGGTTGGCCAGTTTGTAAAGAGCAAAAAGGTGATTGGAGTGGGTGGAACTGGATCGAATGTGGCGTTGCATGTCAAATGAGCGTTGGCTCTGTTCAGCAAGAATGTGGAGTTGAACCCAAGCTGTGGTGTGCTTGGAAAGATTGTGGTCGTAAAATTGGAAAACTTGTTGATACATCAGTCGTCGTCGAAGCTGAGCGTAGAGCCGGTTTCCGATTCCCAAATAAGTGGTGCGTAGTGCTTGTCGTAAGTGTGGTGTTGAATGTTGTTTTGTGACTTGTCGTTGTAGGATAAAAGGGTAGTTGAGTGGTGGACGCCACTTTTGGATGATGTAGCTTTCCAGCGTTCGTGTTTGTAATGTTGTGTTGGTGTGTAGTAACGGCAATGCGACAAATTGATAATAGTTGTTTTGGCTGCAAAACCAATGGAGTGCCAATTCGCATGACACCGGTTGTGCTTGTTTTAATTGTCTCAGCTTTCGTTGTCTGGTGTTCTGACGATCGTGTAGCGTGTGTATGGTACTGCCAATGTAGTGTTCTGTGCTGGAAAGACGAATGTTGAGTCCCGATATGACAATTGCATGAAGAAGTATATATACAGTGTTGGATTGACAGAACATTTGTTGCAACTGTACAAAAGTGCGAACAGACCTCAAACATGTTCTGTCAAATCTCCGATTCCATTTTCGACATGGTTGTTTATGAGACTGGTGAGTACACCAATGAAGAAAACAAAAACCAACTGCAACACGTAGGAATGTTCGAAAAGCAACAGTGTCATAAAAATCATCAGGTGGAAAATGTTGCAAGAATCCGAGAAACGCAACGCATGCCGCCGAAAACTGTACATGAGTCGGATCGCCGCGATCTAGTCACTCGAGTTGAGTGACCGCAAACAGCAGCAGCTTGTAGAGCTCCTCATTGCGCGCCTTTGCCGCCAGTGCCACTGGTAAACCAAGCGATGCTGCTTTGTCTGCAAACGTGCTTTGCTCTGCTTTTGGAATTTTCTTCATGAGTTGATGCAATGTGCTCAATGCCTCCTGAAGGGCTGCCTGGTGTTGTTTTGGAACTGGCTGTTTTTTAATCCAAGCGTCCACTGTTTTTGTTGCGATTGTATGTGGTGCGGCTGTGGTGAAAGGACGTGTGGTGTTTGTGCCTGGTAGATTGTGGATGCTGTCCTGTAGGTCGGTGATTGTGGTTTGTGGAGGAGTGTCACTTGCACTGCGAGGAGTGGCGGTGTGTGCTGAAGTAGTAGTGTTATCAGCAGTGCGTGCTTTGATGCCCATGTCCTGTAATGTTCTTGGTTTCTTGGTAGCTGGTTGTGTGACCTTGGTTGCTGGTGCTGTTCGTTTGTTAGGTGCGGTTGGTGGCGTGCGTGGTTCGTGGTTGGTTGGTGGTGTTGGTAGGTCTGGCTCGTGTGTGAGATCTTGTTCTTGCGTTTCGGCAACCGGAAGCTGGTTGTTAGATGTGGTGTGACCTTGTGCTTGAAGCTGTTGTTCAAGTGCTCGAACCTTGGCTTGGGCATCTTGGAGGCTGGTGTTGGTGAACTGGCGGAAGTAATCCATGGTTCCATTGACCAAGTGATGGATTTTTGTTTTCTTCAACTGGTTTGGGTCTGGATCAGTGATTGTGATGCCTTGTTGATCACAGTATGCTGCTGCTACATCATCAAGGTCGATGTGCTCATCACGAAGTTTGACGGAAAGGTGATGAAAAAATATGGATTCTTTGATGCTGCGGGCAAACACTATTGATGTGAATTTCCCGCTGGCTAAGGCGCGTAGGTTCTAATTGGACCATCCCATGTATGCCAATTCATGTAGGTGGACACTTTCGATGGGTCGGCCTGCAAGTTGGTACCTTTGACCCCAAGCTGTGGCTGTGACTTGGCGTGGAAACGTCAAGCCATACTGGTGTTTGGTGTCAAAATGTTTATTGTCTGGCTGAAAACTGCTCGGTAAGTTGCGGTCGTACCGCTTTGTGCCTTGTGGGCTGGGTGGTTCGTTCCACTGCTGGTGTTGTGTGTGTGCTTGATATGCTCTTGGTGGTGTGTTGACTTGGTATTGTTTCGAATGCCAAGAATCATACGGTCCCATGCTGCCGCGCCACGAGGTCATGGTTGCACTTAAACGACGAAGAAACGTGAAGGTGTCCTGATGATCGCTACAATATCTACTTTTTTGAGCACGAGGATTGCTATCAGAAACAATTCTGAAACAGAGATTGCTATCAGAGATAAAATCCAAACAAATCCAAACAAAATCCAAACAAATCCAAACAAAATTGTATTAGGTAATTAGGATTTGATGACATCAACGATGTTAACGCATGTGAATTTTTGAATTACAATGGTTGACGACATGTCGGCAAAACCCTTCAAACAATTGCAAACGGCTTGGTGGAAGTACACTGTACATCGGCTCTTTTTGCTGGTTCCGCTGATATGTTCTATGCTACGTGTCACTGGGAAGATTTCAAATAGGAAATTATTTATATCACAAGGACAGATTATATTTGCAGGAAGGTGGAGATTCTCTAGAAATAGTAAATTCGATAAAAATAGCATATCATATTATAGTATAAATGGAGGTGAAACTGACGCGTCAGCAGCCTCTCATTTGCACATCTGTCGGCAGCAGCTGCGGCTCGCCAAACCCATCTTCATGCGCAAGTGTGTGCTGTGCTGGTGTGGAGAAGTTTGGATCAGGCTCAAGGATCCAAATGCTGGAGATGTGTGCTAGTGTTGAGTGAATGCACCAACGTCGATCCCGTGGTCTGTGGACTATGCCATGAGTGTCCACTTCTTCTTGTTCGGCCCATGTTCCTCCTGTGGGTACTGGTTTGTGTGTGCCCCACAATTGTCCTGTGAGGATGAATGGTACATGGCTTTTGCCGCTGAGGTATCGATGGACGACTTTGTGGATGAGGTTGTCCTGTTCCATTGTGGCACTGCAAAAGAAGCCATGAACTTTTCGGCCATCCATGGATTCAGAGCATGTTGGTAGGATTAGGCCATGGAGTAGGATTCCTAAGAATCCCGATTCGCTTGTGGCATGTGCCCAATGGTAGTAGGCGTTTCCTGCTTGTGATAGTGATATTGCGGTGTTGCGTGGCATGTTTTTTAAGTGGAGTTGCCATATTCTGAATTGTTGGTGCTGGTGAAATGTGATGTGGGTGAGTGTGTTGTTGATAGGCATGCCGGTTGTGACGATGTACTTTGCTAACGTTGTGGTGATGTGTTCTTCTGGTAGGTCGATGCCTGCTGGAAATCGTGTTTCCAACCATTCTTTCATGTCACATACACTTTTGTCCCGATCCGATAAGAATCGGAAGTATACTGACGGTGCTGTGAGCTCACGGGCTCGGAGTGTTGCTGAGTGAAGGCGTTGCTCTAGCTCTTGGTAATTGAATATCTGGTAGCTGTCACGTGTGGGAGGTTCCCACGGAATGAGGACTGACGGATCCTGTTGTATTTGTCGTTCGATGGCTTCTTCAAGGTGATCAATTGCTTGTGTTGGCTGTGGTTCGTTGGTAGTGTTGGTAGTGTCAAGTGGTGTTGGTGGTGTGTATTGCTGGCGAGGTGTGAGGTGGACTTGTCCTGCTGTGACAGTCGTTGATGTTGTGGTGTTGTAAGTGTTCTTGGACTTGGCGATGGACCTGATTTTGTCAGCCAGGCTAAGCGGTGGTGGTACTGTGGGAGGAGGCAGAGGAGGCGGCGGAGGTGGTTGTTGTTGATGAGAAGTAGGAGAAGTGGAGAACAGGTGTTTACCTGTGTAATCTGATGGTAACGGTGGTGGTGGAAGAGGTGGTAGTTGTGTTGTTGGTGGTGGTGGTAGTGGTGACATGTGGTGTTGTGGTGTTGTGTGTTGCTGAGAAGATGCTGCTGGTTTGTGTCCGGTGTGTGATCGATGGTTGGATTTGGACCTGTCAGTGTGTGAAGAATGTTGCCTGCGATGTGAACGGTGCCGGCGTCGACGTTGTGATCGGTGTTTTGAATTTGTGGTGTCTGGAACGTAGTGTGGTGGATCTGTGGCGTGATCTGTAATGGGAGTGATGTCGTTTCGTCGATTTGCGTCTGTGTCGTCTGGTGGTGGATGATCTGTGCTTCTTGCGTGTGGTGCGAGATCGTGTACGGTTGTGCTTGTTGTGACTCATTGGTGGCGTTGAAGCTGTAGTGGTTGGAAATTGCTGTGAAAATGGTGTGGCTGGTAGTGGTTGAACTAGTGTCGTGGTTGTTGAGTGTGGTGTAGGCTGGTAATTGAGGAGTGATCCATATTGTGATGGTGAGAGCTGAGGATTGGGTATGGCTGCGTTGTGATGCGGTGGTGGCTGAAAACCTGGCATGGCTGTGCTGTGATGTGGTGTGTTGAAAGTGTGCAAAGATGGAGATTGTGTAAACGCAGAGGTGGCAAATCGTGCTTGTGTTGGCTGTGGGACGGTGTGTCCCAGAAGTTGTGGTTGTTGTTGTTGTTGTGGAATTGGAGCAAAAGGCTGTGTAAAATCTGCTGTGGTACACTGTGGTTGCATTGATTGTGGTAAGGTGTGTCCGGCTGGATAATGTTGTTGTGGAGTTTGAGAGAATGTTGATAGAAAAGGTGCTGATGCTTGTGCGTTGTGTGATGCTGAACTCATCCACTGGGCAAACAAATCAGCTGCCGTCATCGCGGGCTGCATGGTCGGAATCACGAAGCTGCAAGCGCTGCACATGTCAGTCTTCAATGTGGCCATGATGTCAAGTCGAAATTTATCTAACTCATGTCATTAGTTACCATGGCATGATGATTCATGTTCATGGCCTTCATGTTGCGCCATGTGAACTACGCGATGATTCATGTACAGGGTTTTCATGTTGCACCATGTAAACTACGCGAAAACTAACCAAATTGGTCTCAGTGAGGCTATCGAGTCATGTCTGTAAAAAGCCGCGAGCAGTCATGCATGGGATCCGTGTTGCAATCATACTACTAGTTCATGTGTAGAGGCCAAGGTTAAGAGTGAAAAACGGTCGTGTTGGTTAAACATGTAGAACCGCATGGGATGACACGGGGTTATTCTGAGGGATGAAAATTTCACTCTGGATTTATTCTGGCATGGACTCTGGATTTATTCTGAAAAGCATTCAATCCCCTGATGGAGTCTTCTGGATGCTTGTGCGAACTCTGGATGCTTGTGCGGAACTGGCTTCTGGCAACATTATGTCTGGATTTATTCTTGTAACCTGGTATCCCCGGCGGACGCACCACCAAGCTTCCCCGGCACTTTGTCAGAGATCCGGGTGCATGAAAGACACACTTTGGTAAACTCCATAATGGAGAGGGTGAAATGAGATGAAATGATAACCGTCATGTCGTGTTGTTACATTAGCATGTCATGTCATGTCATGTCATGACATGACATGTCGGCTTGGGTGGTTTTTGGCTTGGCCACCTTGCCATTTCGGACGCAGGTACGTTTTCACGACGACATAGATGGGTCTTCGTTGGCCCGTGCCATCTATGCGTCCACGGGCCCCCTGCTTTTCCCTTTGATTCAGGGTTTCTCACACACACACAAAATCATAAATCATTCGCCAAACAGAAACCAAGAACAACAACATGTTCAAATTGAAGTTGGTTTCTCTTCAGTCTCTATGGTTGCCCCACAACTGTCGCTTGTTGACAGCGTTGATTGTCATGCTCATCTCTGAACATGTTTAGAGGAAACAATAGTTGGCTTGGTCATTGCGTGATCCTCTCGCACCTGATCGAACATAACAACTACTTGAAACTGTCAGCATGTTCCCCTGTTTCCCACAGCTAATCTTGGAGAATTCGTTCCCAAAAAATCCAACATCACCATTGATTTGCTAAGGAGTTCCCCTAAAAAATACACATATTCCTTCAATCGATTCCTTAGCTCCTGCTGGATGTTCCATTGGGAGGAAAAACCTAACATCAATGAGGAAACAAAAAAACATGTTCGCTGCAAACCCTAAGTTTGACCGTGCCGGAAGTCAACTGAACACGACATGATCACGATCGTCATCACCATCATCGTCATCATCATCATCGTCATCATCATCATCATTATCATCATCATCAAACTCAAAAAACAACATTATAATGGTGACCCATTAACCCCTCCTGCAATCAATGCGGAGTAGTAGTGCAAGCCTGTTTATAGACTTCCTGCTACGTGTCTGTGTCTGTCAACCAGCTATGCTTGTCATACTTGTAGAACTCCCTCAGCGACAACTTCAAGTGTCCATCGCTGCATGCTTGGCGAAATGCCTTAGCACTTTTGGAGTACACGCCGCAGGCCACTGTGTCGCAGGATGGCAGCGGAGGACTGTGCAACCACTGCCTTGTTTTTGGTGGTCTGAGCTCTGTCAGTCTGTCGCCCCTGCTTGCGTTGAAGCGTCGTGCGGTGAACTTCAGGTTGCTAACGCTGCCGCAGCGACGAATATCTTCTTATAATTCCTTGCTGCGGCTGTCTTGGAACCGCTTGCTTTCTAGAGGAACTTCTTTGTCTAAGGATCCAAGGATGTCTTCTGCAGACAGGATGTCGTCATGAAGATGAGTGGAAGCTAACAAATCAGCCGGATATCAGGATTGGTTGAAAGCAGGGGCAGGGTTTACTTGTGTCGCCAGAGAGTGGCGAGAGCAGGCTGTCACGAGGGGTGCGTGGTCTGGGGAAGAAAGACCGTCTTGCACCTACCACCAGACAGAGTCTGGCAGTCTACCCGGCTGCCCGTTTTGAGCCGTCCTTCTCTGCATGACTCATGTACTTGACCTCTGGTCTTTGTTGAACGTGCGTGTTTGGAAGGTGTAGATCATGCTGTAGATAGTAGAGGATATATCTTGTGGGGGATGGTCGAACGCGGGGTTTGGCGCCAGCATGTTTTGCCCCATTAAACCCCATTAAATCATTGTGAAATCCCGTTCAATTCCAAGATTTCGTCAACAAAATCCCAGGGCGCTGCGCCAAAGGACACGCCAAGGGAATGCAGGCCCAGTTCTCGTGATGTCCAGGATCACCTGCACGGCCAGGCCAGGGCCAGGTTGCTCAAAGCCGACAATTCACGCACTAATCCCATCACCCTGATATTAAACACCCCATGGTCCCAATGGAATGTGGAGGTTCCATACATCCACCATGGTTTCCTTTAGGGGCTGTTTAATACTTTCTCAATACCCTTCCACGAAAAGGTTTAAACTTTTTTCCTTGGGTTCGCGCCCAGCGCGCGCGCACCGGAATTACCTCGAAATCAGGCTGCTTTTGAAAAAAAAAGTTTAAAGTTCAGCCACCCGCTGAGTAAGAATGAACGGGGGAAGGGATTCAACGGAGCTGTGAATCGGAAAATCATCGAACTAAATGGGATGAGTGTCCATTGTTTGATTGCCGGTATCCATTTATGATAACTAATTATGGATCATAAATTTGGCCCAAACCTAATAATAGGGATGCTAATTTGGAATGGTATATTCTTGGGTTTATCACATTCGGGATGATCATCAAGGATGAAACTTGCGACTCGTGCCCTAAAATCCCATCAGAAAGTCATTTTCACATACTACAACTGTGGCCAGAATGGTCGCCTCATTGGGATGTGAAATTAGCAACCTGCAAAATCTATTTAAAGTATTATAAACCCAAAACTGCCAAACAAAAACACAGTGAATCAGAAAGTTGTTCATTACCATTTGAGTGAGTCAGCAAGATTTATTCGCAACTTGGTCACACAGTCAACCCCGTCTAGAGTCACTGGTCGAACATGTTTTGCAGGAAAGCTTGGAAAATTTCCTACAATTCTTACGATTGCGCAAATAGCCAACATGGTCGCTTCTGGCACCACTTTTTCAAACCCATGTCCCATGCATACTTCCCCAGTGCTTGATGTATGGAATCATTCCAACATATTTACAGTACCACGTACACCCAAATTTTGCAAAATGTAGCTAAACTAATGCTAAATAATGCTGAACTAATGCTAAATTAATACAACCCAATAAATGTGGAGCCTATAAACTACCCATTGATCTTTCAATGTGACTGCGCTCCTCACTCGTCGCCTGTGCATTTGCTGGGGATGCCTCATTCTATGGTCCCAGTATGTCCCACTTGGATGTGCATCCCAGTTAGGATCCGTTTTATTAACCCACATACAATGTGGGGCCCCCTAGATAGCTAAGTTGGCTTATAACTCCAATAACACTGATTTATGGGACTTATAACTATAGTTAATGGAGTTTATAAAGCAACAAACATCACTGGGGGGGGGGCCACATTGCACAACTCATACAACTAAAAAATACTAAACGTATTCCATTAATGTGGGTAAAACATTAATAAACCATCCCCCAAATCACCATAAACAGGTGGTATGTTTACCATTCCCAGTCATGGGTGGTTTATGACATTGTTTTATCCACATTAATATCACAAATGGGTCACATATCGGTACCTTTCCGATTCCTGGGAATGGTTTATTAATGTTGTGGTATCATTCCACATAGTGGTTAAGTAATGGCACCACATGGAATATGAATGGTTTATCATATATGTTATATTGACCATTAATATCACACTAATATCCACATTCATCACTATGTCATTCATCTGGGTAAATTACAATATTTCACTAACCTGAATAGTTCGGCCATTTGGGGATGATTTCCCTAAAATAAACCATGATACCAGGGTTCGGGAGAACAGGGTTCGGTCGTTATAATTTACCCAGATTCATATATATATATATATAAAACTCCAATAACTATGGTTTATAGTACTTATAACCATAGTTAATGGGATACTAAACAATACTAAACATATTCCTGGGATGCATCACCGGTCATCCAACCGCGCACCTTGGATTTGTAAACGATTCACCTCAGACTTCACCCAAGTTCACCACCCCCGATGACTTTGAAAAACACGCTTTTCCTCGGGGAAAAACAACAGTAACCATTGAAATATGCACGGTGGTTTCAACCCCTGTGAAAAATATGAAAGTCAGTTGGGATTTTTATTTCCAATACATGGAAAAAAAAATGTTCCAAACCACCAGCCAGTAAATATGCACCAGTAAATACAATCCTTCAGGAAACAAATGTTCAAAAACAAGAAGAAAACAACCAAAGAATATCATAGAATTTTATCGCGTGATGGTTTTTTTGGCCGAACAAGGATTAGCCATAAGTAGCTGCAGGTGGCGATCTATTAACATATTCCGAAGCATTGCAGATCCCTACATGGCCGATTCCCGCAATGAAATGTGCGTTTTTCTCTGGCCAGCTTCCTGGATGACGAAAAATACACTCCCAACCATACCGGGAGTTGATTGCTAAGAATGGCTGATTAGTTGATGATTAGATTGCCAGAGGGTACGGTACCTAAAAAGAAACCAGTGGGTCATAACTCATAAGATCTATCATAAGCTCACTTACTGTATTACCAAGTACTTAGAGCGGGATGTTCAGATATTCTCTAGTTGGAAGAAATCAAAACCAACAAAACCAGCTAATACAACCATTAGATGACGATTCAAAACCAGCAAAATCATGGCGAACCTCAATTAACAAAACATAGCCGATCAGTCCCCTCTATTTTCGCATCAAATTCAACATCAAAGGGAGCAAACCATGGTTCACCCAGCAGGTGATCATGGGGATCGCAAAGGCAACCAGCTCCCCTTTGGCCTTTAAAATACTTCCTGGGAAGGTACTCAACCCCTCCATATCCCAACACTCCCTATGAAGGTACTTCGATCATCTAATGAGGCAATGCGAATTCCAAACCAGCTAAATATCAGCCTATTGTTCTTCGGATTAAGAATTGCCATCAATATCATCCTTTGATTAGCTTGGAAATTACCATCTATTAGTTCATTTTTCCTTTTTGGTTGATAGTGTATACATGTCCCACATGTTCCCCATTCACTGGCCATTTGCATGGTGAATGTTAGATACCTGCCCAAACTCTAGTTCTTAGCTGGTTAAGACTAATTTTACCATTGATAGCAAAGATTTAAGTTCTGGTTCGTATCTCACCAAGGTTGACCCAGTTTGGAGGATGTATAGCCCATGGTCAGCTCTCAGCTCCCGACACATTTCCAATGGAAACCGTTGCGATCCACCGCGAAGGCGTAGTCGCCGCCAGTACCTTGGTATCTGGCTGGGCTGCAACGCAGGTGTTAAGACGAGAGGTAAAAAGATGAAATTGTGATTTATGGATGGATAAATGGTGCTATCTACCATTGAATGACAGGAACACATACAAAATGGGATTTGGGATGATTTAAGGGAAAATCTGCAGGAAACCATCGCTTTGCCATCAAAAAATGTAAACACAAATCTATCCAAAGAATAGGAACAAATTGGATTTCGTTGGCAACATGGCAGTTTTAAGCAACGAACACGGTTATACAAGCAATCCAAATCATGATTTATGGATGGATTTTAAACTTAAACCAGAAAACATTGGTTTTGCCCCCCCCAGAAAGGGGTTCCTATGACATGTCCCAGCAATTCTAGGACATGACATATCTGTTGACAGAACATCGCCAATATGGACCTCACTGTCATGGTCTTCAGGGCGCCCGGTCTGCACAATCCCCCAGCCGAAAAACTTCGACGATTTTGAGCAGCAAACGAAATCTCTACAGTTGTGGCCCAACTATCAGTAATGAATCGGATGAACTAACTGCTATAACTGAGGTTATATACATAATTAATATATATAATTGTATATATATATATATATGAATTATGATAATCTATAGTCCCATGTTTATAACCATTAAGGGGGAATTCCTAACCATGTGACTGATGACACCCCATAGTTCAGCCGTGGACTTTTTGCTGCCGCAGGTTAGCCAAGGGGTCGCGAATTCGGATGGCGTGGCCGCGCCTGGCTACAGGGCTATTCGCAACTGGACATCAAACTCTGGTAGCCTGTGGTAAACTAACAGTTTGCTATGGAAAATGGACCATAGAAATGGATGATTTAGCTATTAAAATGATGATTTTCGCTATGTTAGTTTACCAGATGGTATCGGCTGAATGGATCCTCAATGAGATGATCTGAATTTTGGTTCAGGTCTTAATATTTCACTAGTCCACTTCAAACCTTGTTGATATCCCCTTTTCATGTGTTTCACGTTGCTTCCAAAATCATGGTTATGTATATATATATATATTAATATTTATCGTATATTATCATATATCGTATATGTATATTTATATCGTGTTGTATCATTTTATATCCGACTTTTGATGGTCACATTATTTTGTTTTTGTTTTTTTAACAATCCTTAATGGCTATATCCCCATGCCAAGGCCGCAGCTTGATCACCATGGACCATCCAACCTTTAGCGTTGCATCGGTCGACTTTGTCGGCGGAGAAACGCTCGGGTCACATGGACCGCGCTGGTTGGATGGTAATGGATTGCCACTCTGCGATTCGCTCCACAGCTGGATGTGAATGAAGAAGAAGCGTTTGGATACGAATGTACACAATGCATATACACAAAATTCTTTTTTTTGGCGTAGATACGTACATGTGTGTTTATGTACAATATACATGTTGGTTCAGTGGGCTCAAGACACATTATATACGTATATATTAGATTGGTACACAAATTTCTTGTTCATTTTTATGCCATGCACAAATTAGGGCCGCCCCCCATCGGTAGTGAGGATTTCTGCGTTCTCAGACTTTGATCTAGCAGCCTCCTTAGTAACAGGCATGATTGATGCATTCTATGGGCTTACTGCCTCCTGACTTTCCTTGATTGGTTTGTCTTTTCCTTGGATTTTCTTTTCCTTTGTTTCTCCCTTGAAAACCATAGGAAACCGAAAGAAACGCATAGAATCCACACAGCCCCAAACCAAAGGAATCAAAGGATACCGAAGGAAAAAAGCATATAACTGATTTTAGCTAGTTGCTTGTTGTTTCTTTTGGTTTCCTCACACAATTAAAAACCATATTTTGGTGTAACCCATGCATTGGAAAGGTTGAGACTGCTAGCTTTTGGCCCATACCTTGGTGGACATGTGGAACACCTGCTACAGAAAACACACTTGTACTGATAGGGAAAAAAGAAAACATAAGAAACCACAAGAAAAAACAAGGATTTCACAGGAAAGGGCAGGGCGATCAGAGGCGAACATCGGATGATTTGAGGCAACGTATGCAAAACAGGGGTATTGGTATAGGGTCGTCCCCTATTGGTAATGAAGGTTTTGCACACCCCTCAGCAAGACCAAGGCGAAGCAAGATGTATTACACTAATTTTGTTGGTTACATACATTATATATTGTATATTATATTATGTTATATACTATACTATAAATTATATTATACATTATATTATATTAAATATAATATTATATATTATATTATTTATTATATTATAAATGATATCAAATATTATATTATATATTATATTATAAATCATATAGTATACATATATATATTGTATTATATATAATATTATACATTATATTAAATATTAAATTCTATATTAAATTATATATATTATAAATTATATCAAATATTATATTGTATATTATATTATATATCATATAGTATATATATGTATTGTATTAAATATAATATTATACATTATATTAAATATCATATTCTATATTATATGATATATTAAATAAAATATTATAATATATATTAAATTATATATTATATTATATATTATATTATATATTCTAATATATATTATATTATATATCACATTGAATATTATTTTATAAATCATATTATATATATTGTATTATATATTAAATTAAATATTGCATTAAATTATATATTATATACTATATTTTAGCACATCATATCATAGTATAACATATTATAAATTATGTATACCTATATATACATACGTTTATATATGTATTTACATTTCAATATCTATGTCCATATTTGAACACCTATATACACACACGTATATTCATGATATGTGCCATACACACGTGTATAATAGTGTGTCTATGAAAGTTATGTGTACTTAAATAGTATAATATATGTATGATGATATAATGTGTATATATGATATATAATGATATAAAGACATAATATATGTATAATGTGTAAGTATATTATATATATATGTAAATAATAACGTGTATATATATATATATATACATACATATATTATATATATATATACATTTATTTACATATATATATATAAATAATATGATGTGTATATATTATACTATGCCACATATGAATGACTTCCCAAACGGCAACTCAAATGGTTATGAAGTGCAAATACCCCATGTTGAACCATTTTGAACCAAGAAATCGCTTTCCACTTCCAAGTCTTTAGGGCGATTAGAAACGCAGAGGTGCAGATTATTATCCGTGGATTTCGCTCTGAATTCGCTGAAAGGAAAAGCAGCCTGTCGTATCACAAATTGATGAAGGGACCTGAAAGGTTTACAAAGGACAAACAGACCTATGGCATGCTTTCTGCGTCCTTTCAAATGCAGGTATATCTACCCAAGACGTCATGCAGGTACGAATTCAGACAGCCCACATGCGACTGCCAAAGAGTGCCAAAGAGTTTCTTGGTAACGCTTCCCAGCAACCTGGGTTGCCAGCACCTTTGGACCTCTGTAAACATCACTTGGCTGTAGCTCAAAAAATGAGTATGGATCGATCCGGGGTGATCCATACCTACGGATCGGTCTGGATCGCCTGTGTTTCGGTATGGATCTGGGGTGCAGTATGGATCGCCTGCGGGTTTTAACCCTTGATCTGGACCTTAAATTTTGAGTCGCAGCCACTTAGGATTCGTTATGATTCGTTTCCACTTGCGGAAGTCTGAAGGGTCGCATTGCCAAAAAAGTTACGCTGTGACCAAATACTTGAGGGGTATACTATCATGAAAAGCCCATCAGTTGTGATTTGGGTCCCTATAACTATGCTTATATACCTTTATAATTGACTGAAACTTGACCCCCCAAGTAATTGATCCCTTCTCTTGTCGGAAACATGGAGTTGTTTACAGGCTGTACAGTTGATGGCGCATGAGGTGTGAGTTGGCAGAAGGTTTTTTTGTACCAAGAAGATCCATGAAGACCAATGGTTTTTGTTGATATACCACAAAACACCTGCAAATTTGTGTGGAGTGGACAACAAGACATAACAAGACTTAATATGTCAAGCTGCTCCCACAACAGCCTCATCGTCAATCACGGATGCACTCGGGCGCTGCTCTCGCTGAGAGTTTTCGTGTTCACGAATCATGTTCCATTGCAGTGTCTCCAAGGGAATGTAGTCCAAGGCTGTCTTGCCTCGGCTATCTTTCTGCCACAAGTTGGCACCGAATCTAAGAAGCAAAGTCATGTGCCAGAGATCATGTTCTTTGGCGGCCTTGAGGAGGGGATAAGACCAGCTGAGTCCGAACCAGCGGCGCTTGACCTCATTGACATGCTTGAAGTTGTTCTTCTGAAGGTAGATCTGCAATTCTTCCCAATCTTTTGCCAGACGTGCTGGGTGATTGGCATGCTTATTTTCCCAGGGCCTGGGCATAGTTTTGGCCCTTGCGGCAACTGCAAACTCATCACCTTCCAGCAATTTGCAGCGACCACCTCGCTGTTCGAAGACGAACGGTCGGCCCTCCATGGTATGTGATTGGGCCCGGGTCCTAATCTTGAGCCGCACACTTTGTTTTCTGAAGAATCTAACCATCCCACAAAATGGAGGCTATACCTGAAAGATCCTGAAATTACGTCGAGCACCTCGGAAAAAAAAACGATTGAATACATCGTGATAGAAACAAACAAACAGTTTTAAACCAATGGAAGAAGAAAAAACGAAGAGCCCACATAAATTTTGACAACTGGAAGGTGCTGAGGCCTGAAAACAAGCCTTGTCCAGTGTTGTGGACGCCCAAGCTGATGGGTTGACAGATGTTGACAGCACAGATATGCGCAGATGGAGAAAATGATGCTAATGGTGGCTTAATGGTAATCCAGCATTCATATGATCATGCTAATGCAGTAATGGTGTTATTTTTCATGATCATGGTGACCATGGAACCCCACCTGATAATGCGGTGACGATATGTTATGATGACGGTGATGATGTAGTGAAGGTCTTAGCAACTCTGAACTCTCGGTGGCCGCCACTTCATCCACGGGATGGAACTGGGGGCCCCAACTGTTGGCCACTTGCAAGCGACAATGCGCCGTGTGGCACAAATTCTCCTGGCCATGGCACCATCTATGGCCCCGATCTCACATTGAATGATCAGCTCCGAAGAAAGAACACACATTTTTTGACCCCAAATGCAGTTTTACTGCCAAAAAAAAACGATCTCATAAGAATTACCCCTGGTTCTCTTTAGGTTCAACACATCATCAACAAAAAATACATTTTTTTTGCTGGACTGTGTTATACCCCTTCTCCCATCCTTGGAAGCTCTAAGACTCTAAGTGAGTCCCCTCCAAGTGCCTCATGAAGGACACCCAATGATAAGACATAGCCAACTCCATGATTTGTGCATCCTAGGTGGTATGGGGCTAATAAATAATCATGGTATGCCAGTTCTGAATGAATTAGACTCCGAAGATGGATGATCAGCTGCATATTAATTAGGATGCGCATCCAAATTGCCCTGCAAAAGGACTGATTCTTGTTGGTAAAACCAACATTTTCATTCATGATATTTCATGCTTTTTGACTAAACCACTATGTTTGATGCTTAAAATTGAACCATCACTTTCATCCATTCCTTGCTGATGAAACCGCCATCGTGCTTCCCCACCTCCTTCATGATCATGGCGCTAACGCCTATGGGAAACAAGCCTGGTGGCTGCGATGTTTTCCATGTGGTATGGAGCCAATGGGAATTTCAGCAGCCTAAAACAGATTATACACATATATATATATATATTTGTGATTATATATACAATTATATATATATATAATTATATATATAGTATATACAATACATATGTGATATATTCTATAGCCATATTTTGATGCTAATTCGCTACCTCGCTGGCCGGGTTCGCTCGAGTTTCACCGGCGAAAATTCCCTCTTGGCATCTTCCATGGAATTCCGTGAGGGATTTCCCCATGGATTGAACCACCAGAGGTTATATAATAGTCAGCATAATCTGGATTAATAATGGCTAATGTTAATGTTAATCTACTATTAATAATGGTTAATGTTAATGGGTATTATCTGGATAATGATGGTTAAAAAAAATAATCTGGTTGGTGGTTGAGATATGATTTAATGATGATTTAATGGCTTAACAATGGGTTAACATGGGTGAATTTTATGGGATGATATTGGGATAACATAAGTCCAATAACCTATAGTTACTGGTTGGTAGTATACCTACCCCTCTTAAAATAAAAAAGAGTTCGTCAGTTGGGATGATGACATTCCCAATATATGGAAACATCAAAAATGTTCGAAACCACCAACCAGGTAGTATTTAGTTATATATTGTATGATAGAACTACTGATAGTTTGTGCCATAGAACTGATAGTTAGTTATATAATGGAACTGATAGTCAGTCATATAATAGAACTGATAGTTAGTGTAATAGAACTAACTTATATGGAGGTTTGCATAAATGGGGGTACCCCAATAGCTGGATGGTTTATTTCATGGAAAATCCCACTCTAAAATGGATGATTTGGGAATTTGGTGGTACCCCCATGTTAGGAAACCCCCAGAGAAGTCATACTGTAAATCATCTGCTAAAAAATGGGATCAACTGAATCAAATGGCTATTCAGCAAAATGAATTGGATCCATAACCAGCCAGAACGGCTGAAGAATCAGGGAGGCCATCAATCGATTGGACTCGGTTTTGACCCGACTTGCTCACCGGTAAGTCAAAGCCGAGTCATCCTCCATGTTCCAAATGATCATGCTCTAAGTGAGTGTAACTGAGATATGAATGGATATGACATGTAATGTTGTTCCAAACAAATTTGTTGAAATCTGACTCATTCATCATTCAGCGATCTTTCACATAAGTACCAAGTGATCTGGGCGACAAAGTTAACTCTTGGGTGTTGTCACAGAAACGTCTCTAAAATGAAACCATCCAAGTGAAAGATACTGGAAACGTGAAACAACTACATCCGTGTGGAAATATATTTGTGTGTGTGTACTATTGCTTTTCTTTTTACGTGTCAATGTTCGAGTACGGCAATTCCGTACACCAAAAGTGGGTACTACCTCTGAATTGAAGAGGGGCAAAATAATGAGTCGGATTTTGAAACCAGAAGCGGTCCAACCGGTCAACAAAAATCAGGATTTGGAGATATTTGGAGATTCATCCTCCCGAATAAGGATGAGTTCAAAGTACAAACAAAATCAAGGGAATCAGGGAGAATGAACACCAAATCCTGACCGTGGTTCAAGTTTTCACGTAGTTCACACTATTTGGTTTCCCCATGCACGGGCAAATCGTGGTCATCGCAACGACAACATTGAGGACATTCAAGTGACAACGACACTAGCCGAAGCAACAAAAGATTGGTTCTTCCAATCCATCACCCACATATCAGCTGATTGGAGTTCAGCATCGCAGGTTGCGAAAAAAGCAAGACATACTTAGCACCACCACAGTAGTCCCAAACAAAAAAGCAACAGCACCAGCACTGCACCTTTAGGGTCTGGCTCAGGGAGATCGTCCGGCACATTGTCCTTGCAAAGGTGAGATGCTGCTGTAGTTCCTTAAGCATCCAGTTACCCACAAAATGCTACACACATGCCTGACAAATAGCTGATTCTGGTGGTAAATGTAGGTTAAAATACCGTGCGTGGATGATCTTGGCATATCTTGGCTACAGTTCAGAGGCCCAGCACCTGAATTGTTCGGCCTTTTGGGGATGCTTCCCCTATAAAAACCCTATGATGAACCAGGCTTCGGGAGAACGACGTGAGGTCGTTATATATAATTTACCCAGATTCTTAAGATTTTTGCTTGAAACATCTTCGGACCCAATGTGTAGATCCCGTAAATCCACATATTAGGCATTTCAGTTGGACATCATCTGCAATTGATGATCTTTCAGTCAGTTTGACCAGCGCTCCTCGTAGCTTTGGATCACCGAGTCCGTGAAATATTGAGATGCCTTCCTGAAAGGGCTGAGATTCCCAGGCTGTCTGAAAACATCGTGTTTCTTCAGGGGAATCTGCAGAATCCCATGTTAACCATGGGTGTTTCAATGCTAAAATGGTGTAATTCATTTTGGAAAATTTCCAGGGACACCCATTTTAGGAAACACCCATAGAGGAGGGATTATGATCAGCCAAAACGTTAGAAGTATGCGAGAGTGCTTCAAAGGAGAGGGGGAGATGGACTTGGGATATACCAACTGGTTGGCCATACTTAGATGTTCATCCTATCTATCTCAACTGTTTCACCATATATGGCATGTTTATGGAATCCAGGTTTTTTTCCATGGGATACTCGGATACTGTAACCCCAAGTGGGGACTTGCTCACCATTGTCGCTGACCATCCCATGAAGTGGGATGATCATCGATTCATGTGCATTGAAATCGGCTTGTAATTGAATTAGTAAAACAAAAACCATCCGGCTATTTTTCGCTATTGGGATAGCCGATGATGACTTAGGAGACAACAAAATCGAACTGTCGCACGGCGGATCAAGATGATCAAGCCGTGTTTGCCGTTGTCGCGTCAGGCGGCTGGCTGGTTCCAATATATGTTTCATCAATGGCCATTTCAGGTACCGGTGTTTTTTAGAGGTAAGTAACTACAAGGCTTGTATTTTTGGGCTAAATTTCAGGGGATATTCTCCGCAAAATATTGCTTTTCTTTGGGGTCTAATTTAGGGTCCTGACATTCCCATTGATCATAAAATATCATAAATGTCGAGTGTCAACCATTTTTTTGGAGTCACTTACTCACCATGATGGTCACACCAGCACCCATGTGGCTTTGATTCAAGACGAAGCATATTGAGAATAACGCTTGAGATACTGCCAGGTAATCACCCCTCAAATGCCCGAGAATGCAGTTTTTCGCAGTAAACCACATCTCAAATTGCCTTTGTTTTCCAGGAAAATGATTTGGAGTGTGTATAGATCTGTCCAAAAAAGGTTGGTGAATTCACCCTGAAAGTCCGAAAAAAACATGGAGGATAATGATCCAAGAGGAGGACAAACTGAATACTTGATGGAACCCACCAAGCATCACTTGAAACCCAGGTGGAATGTATTGGATCATAGACGCTTCTATCACTGCTGCGAACTCCTGACTTCTTCAACCATGACTCCTGATGCTGCACAAAGTCCATGCCCAGGCGTCGAAGCTGACGGACAACTATGGATTATTAATCACTATGGTGAAGCCTTGTTAATCCTTATTGATAATTCTTTTTATGTGGTAAAGCCAGTAATAAACCATCCCCAAATTCACCAAAAATTGCCTGCATAAACCTCCACAACTGCTGATTTTTGACATTGGCTTTACCACTACCACCATTAATACCACAAAATTCTTTTCTATAGTCCTTATATGATTTATATGTCCCGGACACAATGGATCCTTCACCCCTATGAAAAACTACGAAAACTTCACCGGTCACGGCCACCGAGATCCACGGCCGAGCCACGCCACGTCA